TTCTATTGTATCAAATACTTATTTCATGCAATAAAATGGAAATTAATTATTTAAAAATCATACAATGTGATTTTCTGGATTTTTTATTTTTTGATTCTGTCTCACAGTTGAGGTGTACCTACGATGAAAATTACAGATCTCTCCATTCTTTGTAAGTGGGAAAACTTGAAAAATCGGCAGTGTATCAAATACTTATTTGCCCCACTGTATTTCTGCGAGTGATGACGTCATTTTTGATATCAAGAATTCGTGTCGGTACTAGTGGAAATGTGATTCCTGATATCAACAATCAGCATTTCTGATATCAACAATTCATATCCTACATGTGGTTAAATGTTAAAAGGGCGACAGAACTATTACAGATATCAAAAAATGCATTTCTTACTAGTTAAAAATCTAAATACACATATCAGCTTTGTATTTCTTACTAGTAGAAATATAATTTTTGATATCAATAATTGCATTGTTACTAGTAAAAATGTGAATTGCTGATATCAAGATTTCAATTGTTACTTGTTAAAATGTTAATTCTGGATATCTGTAAATATATTTCAACATGTTACATTTATTATTTCTGATATCTAAAAGTATTTCTGATATCAATAATTAGGAGAGTAATTTCTGATATCTAAATGACTTTCTTACTAGTAACAATCACATTCATGATATCAGAAATTAACATTGTCACTATTGACAATCGAATTATTGATATTAAAAATGAACATTTTTACTAGTAACAATTAAATTGTTGAAATCAAGAGTAGCCATTTGCACTAATAACCATGCAGTTACTGATATCAAAAATAAAGGTTTTTACTAGTAAGAATTGTATTTTTGATATGTGAAATTGCAATTTCAACTAGTAAGAAATCACTTCTTGATATCAACAATTGAATTTGAATGGCAGCCTATGGTGACATTTAACTAGTGAAAATACAATTACAGATATCAAGAATTATAGGTTTTACTAGTTGAAATGCAATTCCTGATATCAAGAATTAGCATTTTAACTAGTGAAAACTGAATTGTTGATATCAAGAAATCATATCCTGTGAAGGAATAAAAGTCAAAACGGCTTGCCATATTTAATCACGCTTAATCGAGTTGACGGCACTAATTCATACTAAAATATTAACAAACTATTGAGCTGTTAAGCGTTATATAATGTATTTATTGATTTATTAATGAAAATTATTAAATAGTGTTAACATTTTCTTTTTGAGCGCAGGTATTCAGAGAACAGCAATGTCACACTATGCACACTACACATGTACACTTGTAATAACACCATTTGCCACTAGTTGTCAGTATCAGGTCATGTTTTCTTCCAGGCATCTCTTTTGAATGTCTCCAATGATCCTTCAGCTTCTCTATAACTTGTCTTTTCTGTTTCATTTGCAGATCGTTTTTGCTAAAGATGGCCATTATGGGCTTGAGGACCTCTCTGAGTCTGGTTATGAAGTTGTGAGTCTTGACTGGACCACAGATCCACGTTCAGCACGGTCAGTCACAGAAATGTGATGCAGCTTTGTTGTGAGATTTTGTTTTCTGATTTCAGTGTTATACCTACGCATACAGCGCCTTGCAAAAGTATTCACACTCATAAGCAATTCTCGCTTCCAGGTCCTTTACTGCAGTTTTGTTCCTTGATCCTTTTATTTCAAAGAACTGCATCTCACATTTGAGTAGGTGTGATTTTTGGCCTCATCTTCTAGGCAGATTTGCTCCAGATTGTTCAGCTTTATTAGATGACATTTGTGCACCACATATTTCAAATAGTGTCACAGTTGGAGTATGAAGAGGGCTTTGGCTGGCCCATTAAAAGACATTTTCCTTTTTGTTCTTTAGCCCTGTTTTTAGGATCACTGTCGTATGTGATCACGTTCAGTATTTTTTTAACAGATTGTCTTTCACTGTATGCATTTGCACCATCCGTTCTTTGTTTTAATAAAAATAAGATGCCCAATCCTGCTGATAAAAAACAGACTTACAGCATGATTCTACTTGCACCTCCAGTTCAATTCCAGTTTATTTATAAAGCACATAATAATACACACAGTGCTAATAATTGACCACAGTGCTGTACAAAAAAAGAAATAATATAATAAAATAATTACAAATATAAATTAACCAAAGAAAGAAAACCCAAGACCAGTACCTATGGCAACAATACCTCGTCACTTATATATGATCAAAAGCAAGTGTAACTTTTTTTTTATACTGTGGAAGTGTGGGCAGTGCTATTAACATTAACAAAACATCTGACCATGAAATCTTTTGCCACATCGCAACTGAATCTATTATGCTTTTGGGCAAACTCCAGATGAAGTGCATTCAAACACTTGGACATTGTTGTGGTTTTGGATAAAGAGCTCTTTGCTCGTCAATATCACTGCTGTCCTTCAGATTCAGTCTCAATTCACAGCCGGAATGTTAAGTTTTTCTTGTTTTTTTTATATATATTGGTTATTTTAATGCTTCATAGCTAAAAGTCAGTTGTGAGAGAGTTGTGTCCTCATTACACTGTTCTGTTTCATTTTATGCAGATGAAAAACACTAGTTTATAGATTTAAAAACCGAAATATCAAAGACAGCCAAATGTCAATATAGGATTTCTAATCCAGTCAAATGAAATGCTTTGGTTGAGTCTGAATAGTCCATTAAGGCACTGTGTGTACAGTATGTACATGAAGTACCAGTCAAAGCTTTAGACAAACAACATCATTTTTTTTTTTTTTTTTTTTAATATATATTTATTTATTTATATATTTATAAAGT